CACCCATTGTTTTTGCATCTGAGGGTACACTCTTCATTGATTCGGGATCCTTCACGTCTACTTTCTCTATTCCAAGATGGTTCACTCCTTGACGAGCCTGGATCTTAGCCTGCTCATCAGGTGATAGAAAGTTCCATTCAGGTTTCCAAGCGCAAACAGTTGCTGGACCATAGGTTTCCGTTAGACCATATCCGTGAATAACATTGAAATTGAGCTCCTTCATCTTGAGTAGCACTTGAGGAGGAGGTGGTGCACCGCCTGTCATCACGTTTATTGTCCTTGGAAGTGGTTTTTGGACACTTTGTGGTGCATTTATTATCATGTTCAAAACCGTAGGTGCGCCAGCCATGTGATTCACTTGGTGCTGAACTATGCTGTCGAAAATCCCTTCTGCAGTGATATTTCTAAGGCAAATGTTTGTGCCACCCTGTGCTGCCAAAGCCCAAGTAAGACACCATCCATTGCAATGAAACATGGGAAGAGTCCACAAATAGACAGGCATTGAAGCCATTTCAGCAAGAAGAACTGCAGCCAGAGAATTAAGATATGCCCCTCTGTGACTATAGATGACCCCTTTTGGACTCGATGTTGTCCCCGAGGTATAATTGAGAGCAATAGCATCCCATTCATCATTTGGCCATACTATCTCAAAATTAGGTTCTCCAGTAGCTAAAAAGGACTCATACTCCAGATTTTTGGGAGCCAAGCTCCTATTATTCTTATTACTGGATAACTGACTCTCACTATCAGAGATCAAGATTAGATGTGGCAACTTGGCACTTGCCTTTGACAGAATATTTAATGCACCCTTAGCAACATCCAGCAACTGGTAATCTACAAATATTATTTTGGCCTCTGAATGTTTAAGTAACACAGAGACCATTGCTGAATCATGACGCGTATTAAGTGCACAAAGAACTGCCCCCGCCATTGGTACTCCAAAGTGTAGCTCATACATTGCAGGAACATTCGGAGCCAAGGCAGCAACCTGCAAAGAAAATTTAGAAAAATTAAGAGCAGTACCAATACAAAAGATGGTATCTGAACGAGAACTCATTTCCTTCTTGGCAACAATATAAGAAAGGGTGACCAATGTTTAAAGATCCTACAGATGACAAAACACAAACAGGATTAACTAAGTTCAGAGGCAGCAAATGCTTAAATGCTACCTAGATATGTTATACTTTCAACGACACGTGTTAGATGGACTCGTCACTTACGAAAGTCATCACGCCATGTCTTTTATTTTTTTGAACAAGCCTTTTAAATAAACTTAAGTTGTCTTTTTTAGTACAAAAGTTACTAACTGACTGGATCACTAATAAAAATGGAAAGTGTAGGCACGCACTCAAAGTGGATGTCTGCTGAGGAGGATCCAGGATTTAAACTTGATTAGTTCATCATTTAAGGTTCTTAACGTTGAACTTATTTTACTTTTGAAATTATGAATATTCATAAAAATTATAGTGATTTTTTACTATATATCCATATTTCGTGTAAAAATTACTGGGTTGGATATCTGTAAGTATCCAGCATCTGTATATACTATTTTTTATTATTTTTTGTGTATTTTGAAGAATTTGCACAAGTAACCATACCCATGGCACATCCCTTTGATGTAGTTACATCAAGATAAACGAGGATTTATGTAACAGTAGAATAAGACTTGTTACAGACTGCAAAGATTACTGAGGTACATTGTTGTTTGAAAGATTTCAACAGCAGAAGGTAAACCAACGCAACATTGGGGGGGGAGGGGGGGTTATCATTTTATTGTTTATAAAGCAGAAAATGGGTTAAAGACCAATTAGTTGTACCCTTTTTTTTTCTTTTTTTTTTTTATAAGGACCAACTAGTTGTACCCTCTAACACTTATTTGGTGAATAATTCAGGAACAAAAAGAGAGGATTTTTTTGTTGGTCCCATAGAGAGGATGAACTTGTAGTAGAATCTGTATTCAAATTAAAAATAAAACTCATCTCAACACCTAAGAGGGAGAAGAAAAGGGAAAAGCACATAACATGTAAAAGTACTCAAGAACGTTTCATTTTTAGTTCTTGGAAAGGGTCATTATTGAGAAACTTCAACGTGAGAAAAAGGAAGTTTTATTAAGCCAATAAATAACATCTTGTGATCTCCCTCTCCTTCACCACCTGCCACATCACTTCCAATCCTAACTTCCTCAATAGTCCAGCAAATATCAGATTGAGTGTAGACTTGAAGGAGTATCTCTTTTCTTCTTTTAATTTTTTTCCCTCAATAAGTGGCATATATCATATTTCATATCTTAGTTGTATTTGAATGCAGTCTTACATCGGAAAAGAATTACTAAATAATAGGCAAATTTAATTAAGGGAATTAGGTATGGTTTCGAGCAATTAGTAAAGAGGAAATTAGGTCGAAAGATTCTTTTTTTTCTTGACCTAATAGCTGTTGCCCATGCTCTCATATACTGATTTCCAGTAATTTGATATGTTTAGTGTCAAAGACAAACTTACATTACCTAAACTAAAATTTAAGAAACATGTCAATTCGACCTGCACCAGAAATTTCTAGTAGTAATTGATTTTAAAAGCCAAATAAGAAAGAAATGAAGTGGAGGGGAGATTGGAGAAGGACATACGACATCGCGACGAGAAATCCCGAGGAGGGTGAGAGCAGAAGCAAGTCGGAGACACCTTTGACGGGTCTCTCCCCAAGTAAACTTTACATTTCCATGAACAATAGAGAGCCTATCCCTATACACAATAGCTGATCTTTCCAAGAAGCTTATGGGACTCAACGGCACGCAGTTTGCTGAGCATTTAACAGTGCCCTCCATTTGCATATATCGGATTTGCTCTATGTTTTATGGTTTCTATGGAGTACTTTTATTTTATTTTTTAAAAATAATAGAACAGAGGCATCAAATAACGTCATTTGAGGAATCTTGTACAGATTAGAATGGTAAAATCTTGCCTTCCAAAAGAAAAAGGAAAAGGATATACAGATCCAATGACAAATTATTACGGATCTAAGGAAATTAAAGGTCTGCTTTCACAAATTAAATCTCTCAAATTTCAAAATAATTTGTATAATCATGATTCAATTTGATTCACTTTCACCAACCTGTCTTAATTTATTATAGTCAATTTTAATTAACTACAATTTAGTAGTATATGTCAAGACATGTATTATAAATTTATAGAGTTAGTATAAATATCAAATACAAATATATTTGTACCTTTTAATAATTTAATCCAATCTTACATGAGTTATTTTTTGTTATTAAGGTTTGAACCGGTGGCGTAGTCACACTATGCCACGTGTGATCAAGTGATCACCCTTCGCCGAAAAATTATACAATATATATAAGTCAAATACTACTTTATATGGCTATATATTATATTTTGAACACCCTTAACATAATTGAGTGAGGCAATCCAGCGGTCGAAGGTGTTCATAATGATATGTTGTTCACGGGTTCAAAATTATATGCTCATTTTGTTTGCCAAAATTAAACAGAGACCACCGAGTATATGGTCTATTTGACTTCTTTTTTTCAAATAAAATAACTCTTAAAATTTATATAAAGACAAATATCTAATCTTAAAAGTAGTTTTTTACTTAAAAGTTATTTTTAAAACAAATTTTATAATTTAAAAGTCAAGCTCTAAAAAACTTTCTTCAACAAAAGCTCTCTATAGAGTATAAACTACAAAGCCTCCCGACTCTCTTTCCTTTAATTTTATGCTTATATTTATTAGTAAAAATTTTATTGTTGTATTTTTTATGTTAATTTTAATTTATAAAATGATAGTTCGATTACAAGTATTTTTATTGTTTAACTAAATGCTGCTTAGTTTGATTCCAAAAACTTTGGTACACCATTCATCAACGAAAAAAATTATTGACTTGTTTAAAATTTGAACACCCTTGGCGGAATTTCAGGCTACGCCTTCGAACCGTGACAGATTTACTTTGTGCCAAGGGGGCTTAAACCCCTTTTGTCAGAAAAGTTCATTACTTCTCTATTTTAAATTATGTGTTTTAGTTTGACTGTACGTAAAGTTTAAGAAAAATAAGCAAGACTTTAAAATCGTATGGTAGGAGTATTATTAAAGATGTGTGATATGTACAAAATATCCTTCAATCTTGTAGTCTTAAATATATTATGTGAAATATTAGAATTAAAGAGTTGGAGTACTAAATATAAAAAGAAGCATTAATTTTGAAACAAACTAACAGAAAAAAGTAAAACACATAATTTGAAACCGGCGAGAGTACTTAATAAATGAATTGTATCTAGAAAACCATTACTTATGCATTATTTTATTGAATTCCCGGACACTGGATGGACCTTTTTTAAACTACTATTTATATTTTGATTATGTTAAAAATGTTTTAGATAAATTCTAGTCGTCCAGTAAAATCTTACCCAAGCGTACTTTAATATTCTTGCTTGAATTTTCTGTCCTAAAATTGTTGTTACCGAAATCAAGAAATCAATAATGGCACAAATATTTCTTATTTGTGTCAAACATTAGAAATATTTAACTTCACGGTCATGGGGATCCAAACTTTGTTTATGCAAAATACATGCATATATTTGTCCCCATTAACACAACTTGTTATATAATTAAGTAGTACTACTTCTTTTCCCAAACCATAACAAATAAACAAAGAATATCACTCCGCCCCTCTCCCACCCCTCTTCCAGCCTAATTTTCTTGAGTGAAGCAAAAGCAAATCCGACATATTCAAAATGGAGGGCAGTGTGAAATGCTCAGCAAACTACGTGCCATTGAGTCCCATAAGCTTCTTTGAGAGATCAACAACCGTCTGCGACAGGCTCTCAATTGTTCGTGGAAATGTCAAGTTTATTTGGAGAGAGATTTATAGGACTTTTGAACACTTAAAATAATTTATAAGATAAAGGTGTTAAGATTGGTGTAAAAAGAACACTTAGTGTTTAATATTTATAACTAAGTTTAAAAAAATTCAAACTTTTAGAATTATCACAACTGTCCCAAATGGGCACTACTCTCTCTAAAAAAACGGAAACCCATTCCCGCTCCCAGCCCCATTCCTCATTCCCAATTCACCAAAAACTACATCTTCTTCTTCTTCTTCTTCTTTCTTTTGCTATGTTCAATCTTTTATTCTTCTTTCTTTAATCCCGATATTATTTTTCCACATATCTTCTTCTTTGAGATTCTTGTTCTTTGTTGAGAAAGATTGGTGAAAAAAGAACAAGAACAATTGGAGATTGATCCTTGCACCATTGAGAAACACTTAATCGTGTTTTGCTAAATTGACTTGTGCGCTATTTCAAGGGAGATATTCAGTCTATTCGTCACTGTTGGTAAGTAAAAATTGGCGTTTAATCTTATTTTATTCGTCTGCAAATATCAGATTTTCTGTGATTCTTTAAACATCATGTGATATGTTTAAAACATACAGTGAGATATTTCAAACATCCACTGAGATGCTTAAAACATCCCGATATAATTGTAGGGTAGTTGTTTCAAACATCCTGAAATTCCATTCAAGATATTTCAAACATCCTCTCAGGATATTTCAAACATCCTAAGCATATTCTCAAGATGTTTTAAACGTCTTTTTAGAAAGTTTGAAACAACATTAGGATGTTTGCAAAAAGTTAATTCTTTATACAAATTATTTATATATTTGTGATATCTTAAGGTATCCCATTATAAAATGGTTGATTATCTTGTATTGGGAGTTGATTGTCATGGTGAATGGGTGGAGTGCTCTACCCGTTTTACCTGGCGTTCGAAGAATAAAGAGACTGTTCTAATAAAGGTGCGTAGAGATGTTACGTATGATGAGTTTGTTGACAAGATTATTACTGGTTGTGAATTAACTTGTTATCTGAGTGATATCTCCATAACTTACATGCATAGCATTGCTGAAAAGCACAAGAAAGTAGCTCCCTTTAAAATAAAGAATTATGATTGAAAGATCGATAGAATTTATAAATTCACCTTTAATGGAACAACATGATAGCCATGGATTGGATGATATTGAAGAAAATCTTTTGAATATCGATATTCCAAAAATGGATCCTTGAATATGGATATTCTAGAAAATGAAGAAGAAGAATATGCAAACTTTTTTGGAGTTAAAGGCAATTCACAAGAGGTAGAACCAACAACACAAAGCAGCCACAATTATGAAGACGACACGAAGTTTTATAAGGGTTTAAGTTTGAAAAACAAGCGCGAGCTAGTTGTGTCATTGAAGCTTACTTACTTGAAGGCTCTTTTCCGTTTCAAATCAATGAAGAGTACTAAATTTGTGTACTGTGTTAAATGTGTAGACAACAATTACAAGTGGTGGTTGTGTGCCATCAAATATATAAGTATTGACATGTTTTATATTACGAGGTACAAGAATGAGCACACATGCGGGTCACAACATATTACAGAAAAGCATCCACACGCCTCAGCGGATGTCATTGGTGAATACATCCATTCTAAGTTTGAAGAGGGCAGGGGTCCATCTAACAAAGAAATTATAGAAACAGTTCGTTTAGATTTGGGTTGTAATGTTAATTATTAGAAGTGTATGAAGGGAGGTCATATTGCAAAGTCTATGGTAAGGGGATTCCAGAGCACGTGTATGCAATTTTAGATGTGTACTGCTACGCGCTTAGGAAGGAAAATCAAGGAAGCAAGATAGCACTGAAGCTTGATAACTGTAGGAAGTTTCAGTACTTTTTTGCAGCTTATGAAAGTCATAGCCGTTGATGGGACATTTTTGACGGAAAAGTATCGTGGAGTGTTGTTGTCTACAGTGGCACAGGATTTAGAGAACCATATTTTTTCTGTGGCATTTTGTGTATTAGACAAGGAGTGTGATGCCGCATATGAATATGTTTTTGAATAATTATCCAGCATACACCCCAGCAGTGTTGAGTTGTGTATAATTTCTGATAGGCACATAACATAGCAAATGGGATCTCAAAATTTTACCCTCAGGCTCATCACGGATTTTTTATGAGGCACCTTGCTGAAAATATTCGCAAACCTTTTCATTGCAGATATTTGTTTCACCATTATTATTCTGCAGCTAAAGCATACATGATTGATTAGTTCAATGATCATTTTCAATAAATCAAAGATAACGATGTAAGATTTGCCAAATATCTTGAGGAGGATGTTGGGTTGAGCATAGCGCACTTCCGTGGTAACAGGTACGTTAATGTTAACTCCCTTGGTAAAATATCTTTGAAGGGGTTCGAATCATTTCCTAAGATGTTTGACACATCTCTTAAGGTGTTTCAAACACCTTTTAAGATGTTTCAAACATCTCTTCAGATGTTTTAGGCTTCAGATGAAGGTTACTGAACTTTCCAGTTCAAACATCTTACGATATGCTTCAAATATCTATGAAGGTGTTTCAAACATCTTTTACGATGTTTCAACCATCTCTTAAGATGTTACTTCATTCCCATTTCAAACATCTTATGAGATATTTCCAACATCCATGAAAATACTCCCAACATCCATCTCTCGTGACGTTTGAAACATCTGCAAGATGTTTGACCCTTGTTGCTTATATTTCAGATTCTAAAAAAGTCTTATATGTTATTATTTTAGGTATGAAGTATCGACCACAGATATTGCCGAGTCTGTTAACTCAATGTTTCTATTCGAAAGAGAATTCCCCATTACTACCCTATTTGATGCTATTAATAAGAGGTTTGCTAAAACATTCCATGAGAGGCATATATAGTTCCTCGACATTCCAACCATTTGTGTCCTTTCAGTTGAAAAGAGGATTAATAAAAATGCAACTTTGGGCAATAAGCTATTGGTCCATCCAATAAAGCAACATGTGTTCAGCATCACCGGTCATGGTGTGGTTGCAAAGGTTGATCTAGGCAACAGAACATGTTCTTGTAGAGAGTTCGACCTAGACAAAATACCTTGTCCACACGCTATGTCAACCCT